CGAACGCTACTGCGGTAGTACTTATGTATGGTTTGAGAGCGAGGCGTGAGCAAGTGACCGTTTCACGGGCGTGGATCTTCGGGGTATCTCCCGACATGTCTTTGGTAGTTGGAATTGTTCCGTGTTGCAGAAAGTCTGCGCGTCTTTTCGTCGGTGAATTTCTTGCGACTGTTGCTTGATGCTTTGCGGCGCACGTGGCGCCCACTCTCTCCTGTTGCCTGTCCACGAGGGCAACCTAATAAAACGACTTTACCATATCTTCATCCCTGTCAACCTGGTCAGCCGTGCTTACCCAGCAGCACTAGGCTTGGAACCAATCAACATGCACGACTACTTATGAGTACAACCCCCTCTCCCCCCTGCCTCTGCTGTTCACTGTGCTGTACTGTAGTATTGCCACACATCGCGGACAACCACATGCTCTCCGCTGTAGTACGGGGGTGATGGTACTCTTCACCGCCTCTCCTGAGGGCTTGATGTATTGGATTGTCCCCAGAGATCAAATGCCAGAAACATGAAAATACGAAGTACTCGTCAGGATTGCGACATTCGGGAAGATGCGACAGTCCAAAGGAATAAGAAATGCCATTTAAGGTAATGTACGACTTGGTTGGGCCGGTCCTTCGACCCAAAATAAGGGATTGAGGGTCGACCCGATTTTGACGTTTCTCAACTGCGGGCGCTATCTGTACTCACGAACCACACAAGGATAGTTGGAACGAAGGATGCCGTTGGAGAGTTTTAGTGTAACGGCGGCTGCCCCGGCGAGGGATGAATACTGCGAAGCGCCTAGACTTTGCGGTTTATGTAGAGGCGCGGAGGGCGCGGTGATCCAATCTTGGAACCGTTGGCAGGGAGGTGGTTCCCAATGGAAGGGCCCCGTCTCCCAGGCAAGTCACGTGTCATTGGACATGGCCCTGAGAAACTGAAAGGATCTGAAAGCCTGAAGTGCATGCTAAACTGAGCTGATATCGTGACCTGAGCTAACCTGAGCTAACTGACGAAGGGCTATCGGAGCGCTTGCGTGGGTGCGTGGAGCCCTCGTGAGGAGTAATACGGAGGACATCTACTCCCGAGTCTTAGCCGGTGGTCTTGAGCAGGTGAGGTAAAGCTTCTGTAGATCCAGTTTACACGTGAATGGGGCACTGCATTATGGCTAACCTAATCCACGTCAAACTGCCGTTTCATTAGTTCGCAGCAGCCTCTTGCATATGGTGACCGTTGGCTTGGAGTTGCTCATTAAGGGCAGTGNGACTGACGAAGGGCTAACGGAGCGCTTGCGTGGGTGCGTGGAGCCCTCGTGAGGAGTAATACGGAGGACATCTACTCCCGAGTCTTAGCCGGTGGTCTTGAGCAGGTGAGGTAAAGCTTCTGTAGATCCAGTTTACACGTGAATGGGGCACTGCATTATGGCTAACCTAATCCACGTCAAACTGCCGTTTCATTAGTTCGCAGCAGCCTCTTGCATATGGTGACCGTTGGCTTGGAGTTGCTCATTAAGGGCAGTGGCGCGAAGCGCCAATAACATTGTGCTTCGCACCGACAATGTGTATATACGACCGCAACGTCCGACCTGACCGCGAGCTGTCGCGTACAAGGAGCAAAGAAAAACCGACGGGTGATGCCAGCGTGCTAGTCAGGACTGCTGTTGTTCTAACAACGAAGGTGCTGCACCACTGTACTGCGCTCTCATGTAGACTGCTGCAAACCGCGGGCACACTGTTTGCTCTGAGAGCCAAAGGAATGCTGTGTGGCAGAAGTCACATACATAATTACGTCTCTGTCTATGGAATCAGTCCGAGAGATAGAGGGAGGGGGACAAGAAGCGATGCAAAGGGAGAGCTCCCGCACCGGTGTTGATCGAAAATCCTCCTCAAAAATGTGGCGAAAATCGCAAAAACTGACCAGCATTTCCGAATTGTGCGACATATTCATGACGTGGACACAGCAGGGACTGGCGCTCGCTCGGACACAGGTGAAGGAAAAAGATATCCAACTGTTTCGAATTTCAGGGCGCTTGGCGCAGAAACACTACTGCCGCCCTCGCTCCGCAAGAAACACAAGCCGACAAGATGTCAACAACGGCGAAGTATACTAGTCTACATCTACAGCAGTAGCTCCCGCGACGCGCGAGTTTCTTCAAAATCGCCCCAAAACAACGAAAACCCGGATCGCGTGACACGGGATGACGTGGACACAGCTCGCAAGCTGGTGAACATAAAGATAAATTATAGATCCAACTGCTTCGAACGTCAGAGCGCTTGGCGCATAAGCAACACCCTGTTTTCCGCAAGAAACGCAAGCCTCTCGCGCAAGAAAAATGCGGCGAAACCAACCAGCTCGTGAACGACAGTCCCGCGGCCTGTGATTGGCCGAGCTGTAGTTGATGTCATCTGGATGGCGGCTGTTCAATTTTCTCCCCGAACTGACAGCCCACGCCCCCGCCATGTTCGTTCACTCCGTTTTCGCCCAGCTCATCTCTCAACGCCATTCTCTTAGCACACCACCACCTCACATCAAGATGAAGTCCTGCGTTGTAGCCGCTGCCTGCGTGGCCGGAGCCCAAGCCTTCGTGGCACCCAGGTGAGAACGGCTGTTGCAGGTTGCTTGATGGCATGCGCTGGGTTGCTGTGATTCTTGTCGTGGGTACACGACAACGTGATCATGCGCCCGTTTGCAGGTCACGGTGTTACTATGATTCTATCGCATGCGCTCTTCGTCTGTCCCATCACGCACCTCGCTTGGTGTCCCGGAGAACCCGCTTCAAGTTTCAGAGTTCATCCCATATTCAGAAAAGTTCGTAGCCTCCACTAATAGTTCTTTGAGCTGTCCTGTGAGTCTCTTGCTTCGAAAGAACCACCGTGTTCTACTCTTCGTCTCTCCCACGCGCTTTTCCTAGCAGCGGCTCGGTAGCAGCGTCTCGGCGCGTAGGATGTGGGGACAGCGAGTTGATTCAACACAATAATCTTGATAGAGAATCCATCTGCACGTGAGTGCATGCTCACTCGTACACTTAGCTCGTTGCAACACACGACGCTGTTTCGCCACAGCGACCCGAGATTCATTGCTCTGAGATGGGGAAGGCTGTTGCACATGCTGTACGGCGCTCGGGTTCGAAGATTCACGAGGCTCCATTGATTCCGCTAAACTCTTGAGTCCCCCAACGTAGACGTCAGCTGTTGTCGAACCTCTGGTTTCGCGCGGATTTCGCGAACAGGAGCACCTCGCTTGTATTTAATGTAGACTACATGTACACGGCACAAGATAACGCACCCCCTCGACCGATTTTCAAAGCTCGGTTTATCAACAGCATAAAGATCTCAGCACCTACACAGTAGCGTCGAAGCTGTGTAGTCGAGAGCTTTCCGCAAGTGTACCGTTTCGATAATCCATCCGCTTGGTCGTGGCGTAATCAAGCTCTGAAAATGGGTCCAGGGGGTGTGTTATCCTGCGTCACAACGCGTATTTTCCATCTTTCCTCATGCGGTGCTTGCTTTTACTTGACTATCATTCAAACCCACTGCTAGCTGCGTAGGAACATACAATATTTCCTATATTCTGCAATACACATGAAGACAAAATGATTGAAGGTTTCACTAGGCCACCAAACGAGCTATTTTTCATCCACTGCGGTCAGGGTTCCACGATTCCACAAGGGTAGTCCAAATAGCATGCCCGAAAAACCAGAATGATCCCAACATCTTCCTTCCGCACCTCCCCAGCATAGCATACAGATAGAGATACACGACGGCTACGAAACTGTCTCGCTGAGGCTGTTACCCACAGGGGAGATATCACTGTATGCTGCTCGGGACATCCGTACAAGTACAGGTGGCTTCCGCTGACGCGATGAATGCATTTCTAGTCTGTCTTAGGCTCTTTCTTTTCTACAGATAATGATGGATTCGTTGTGTTGTACTACAAAGAGGAAAGAATGGATGGTTACACCTGTCCCATGACGAAGCATGTCGTTCCCCACAACGGAAGACGTGAAAACGTCGCCACACAGGGCCTTGTGCATAACGCGTTTCCGGCACGATTGCTGGTCCCTTCGATACTGGACGTCAGGTCGTCGGGAAATATTCTTGAACTTGTTGAGAGGGAGTCGTGCACCGTTGAAATGATAATGCCAGTGCCTGCTCTCAGCTTTTCAATCCGCTTGAAAATGGTTTCCAGAATGTAATCCCTGTCCCTGGTTCCCCTCCTTCCCCCCACGTTCGCCGGACCCACACCAAATTTCCCCAGCAGGTTCAATGGCGCCGCCGTCGCCACCCCGGCCAAGTCTTCCTCCGCCATGAAGATGTCGTTCGAGTCGGAGATCGGCGCGCAGCCCCCCCTCGGATTCTGGGACCCGCTCGGCCTCCTCGCGGACGCGGACCAGGAGCGGTTCGAGCGCCTCCGGTACGTGGAGGTGAAGCACGGGCGCATCGCTATGCTCGCCATCGCCGGTCACCTGACCCAGCAGAACGTCCGCCTCCCCGGCATGCTGTCGAACTCGGCGGACCTGTCGTTCGCGGACATGCCGAACGGCGTGGCCGCTCTGTCGAAGATCCCCCCGGCGGGCCTCGCGCAGATCTTCGCGTTTGTGGGCTTCCTTGAGCTGGCTGTGATGAAGAACGTGGAGGGCTCCTTCCCCGGAGACTTCACGAACGGCGGCAACCCGTTCGCGTCCTCGTGGGACGCGATGTCGGAGGAGACCCAGGCGTCGAAGCGCGCGATCGAGCTGAACAACGGGCGCGCGGCACAGATGGGCATCCTGGCTCTGATGGTGCACGAGGAGCTGAACAACAAGCCGTACGTGATCAACGACCTCCTCGGCGCGGGGTACACCTTTAACTAAACCACCCACCCACCCACTTTTGCGTTATCTGACGTAGCGAAGCGTTTCCCGTAGGTTTTGACTAGAAGGGCTGACCTTTTTGTGTTGGTTGGTGGAGCGGGTGTTGCGGTGTGCTGCACGTGCCCCCGACGCACCTTAGATCCCCAATACGAGTGTCTTCTCTAGATTTTTCTCGGGGTTAGAATAGAGAAACAAACGTTTACGCAACCCTTTTACGAAGCGGTTCTTGAGGTCTTGATTTTTGGGTAATCGAGATAAGACCGTGGTCAACCGTAGTCGTTCGTTCCCTGTTTTGTCGTGAACGCATGGACTTCTGTTTTTGGTTCTTCCGTAAGGGTCTGTGGACTTCCATTCGATTGATGTTGTTGATGAGCGTCGTGGCAGTCCTGGTTTTTGTGTTCCCCGTCTTTTAGGGCGACTTCACGCATGAACCAAGAAGAAAACAACAACTTGAATTCCTCGCCATCTGTGTAGATGGTGCCGCTGCACTTTGGGCGTGTTCGCTTTCTCGACAGCCCGGGCGCCATGTGCGAATGTATGTTGTCGTGCAAACACGTATGTGCATTCATGGAAGCTGGCTCAGTATTGAAGAAGGTCCCCTGTAGATGCTTCGTATTGGCGACCTCGGTTCGAAGTATTTACGTTGTTGGCACCCACAGCAAACATGCATGAATACCGGCTTCTGTCTCGTCCATCTTTGCTAAATGCTTTGTATTGGCGAACTCGGTGCAAAGTATCTATGCTAGCACGTCACAAGTGTGGACATGAACTTGGTCATGACATACCTTGCATTGCTACACTGAAGGTACTAGGCACACACCGCAAAACAAACGTACGTGCGCATCGTGTTAGTTCCTCTCGCTTCTGTCGGACCACGACCCCGTCCGACCCCACGGTGTGCGTGCTGACTGTGGTGTTGTCGTTGTTGTTAGTCTTCACAGAAACTGTTCTCTTTACCTCAGGCGAACGGTTTGTAATGTGAAGACAACAGCAACAGGCAGGCTTAACTTTTTATTCAGAAAAGGCGTGGGAAAAAAGATTGTACGGAGTCCTCAAGTTGAATTTTGAGATCGACGACAAAAGATAAAAGTGAACTATTCTTTTACAACCCTCCGCTCGCCTCTACACACTGTTGTTGTCGCTGTTCACATGAAAAACCGTTTAGATCTTTCTACAATACTCGAAGTATCCGCAGAGTGGAGAAAAGAAAGAAAATGGTATTTTCTCATTACTCGAACGTTTGTCTCCCGTGACATCACGAAGACAGATGAAGTCAGTCTTGTTTCCTGAAGAACATGAAAGCAGACACAGAAAAAGAGGGAATACACCGAGGAAGACGCGCCACAACCTGCTGCTCTACACTACCGTGTGCATAGCGACAAACAAAAGAAACAAAATTGTACAACACGAAACGGAGACTCTAGACTGCTCCTGATGTTACGACGCTTTGGCCTTGTTGATGGTGCCGGTTGATGCTGTAGCCCGTTTTGCTCTTGAGGTTGTTATGGTCGGGTCGCCGTATAGGCTTGACCATGATGCGTATACCCGAGAGGCGTGCTGCGTCCATCGTAGTTTGTTCTCGCTTTGCACCTATTTGGAACTGAACGGGGGTCTGTGAATGAAAACAAAGTTTTGAGCCGAACACCCAAACAAGCTTGCATTGCTGTGCTTGCGCTGTCCTCCCTTGTGTTTTTGATTGGAACTCCCGTATTGAGATTATTTATTGTTCTCGAGGACAATTCGCAGGTTCCCCCCCCCTACGTGTACTACTCATGAACCCTAAGACGAAAGTTGTTCTTGAGGATGCCGTTCGAGAGCCCTTGTTCTCGGCAGTGTCTCACACATAGTAGTGGCCGTTGTGGCTTGGAACCGCTCAATTTGAGCAGGAGTCAGTCAGTGTGGCGCGAAACGCCAATTATTTTGTGCTTCGTACGGATAACGTGTGCATACGGCGGCACCGTCCGACCTGACCGCGAGTTGCCATGTACAAGGAGCAAAGAAAAACTGACGGACGGGTGGGGCCAAAGTGCTAGCCAGAACAACCTGCTGCTGTACTACTGCGCTCTCATGAAGATAGACCGCAAACCACAAAATCTGCTCTGAAAGCCAAAGGAATGCTGCGGCAGAGGTCACATAGACTACATGATCCATCCTATTGTACGTCGGAAATCAGGCCGAGAGATAGAGGAGGGAGAAAGACAAGAGGCGATGCATAGGGAGAGCTCCCGGATCGTGTTCGTCGAAATTCGTCCCCAAAGACACGACGAAAAAAATTCACGCAACTCCGGATCGCGAGACAGTCAAGATCTGGACACAGCAGGGACTCGCGCTCGCTCGGAACCTAGCTAC